ATTAAAGAGAATAATGTATCGAACTCTTTACTATGGGAAAAAATAGAGCAGTGTTTCACTCTCAATTATATATATATATATATATATGTATATATATGTATATATATGTATATGTATATATAAATTTTTTTTATTATGTTTGCGATACTGCAGTAAAAGCATTAAACAAAAAAGAAAGGGGAAAGAAAAAACACAATTTAAGGCAGTAAGGTATGCAAGAAAACTAGGTCCTTAAGACGAATTTCGAACACCTTCATCATAAATATTTATTTATATTACATGTGATTACGAAATTAGATGAAAAACCGAAATCGTTTTATTTACGCATGAGAATATTTACGCTAATCCTTTTGGGCATTTGCGTAATCTCTCCCCTTTTTTTATTTATTCATTTTAATTTAATTAACTTACAATTTACATTATTAGATAAGCATAAATTTTTATTTTGTTATTTTATTTACGTTTGTTTATTCTACAAAATATGACGTCACTTATTGTGACAATTCTTAACCAAGAAATTAGTGTGTGCCTATGTATGTTTGCTTATGTGCGTATGTGTGTGTGTATCTTTCTTTCTACTATTCAAGTTGAAGGTAGAAATTTTCGATGGATACTATTGGCCCGTATCAGCAGTATCAGCACGATTCGCCATCTATGGCGCCTATTTATTAAAACTACTCCGCATACACACATTACTTCGATCGCTCTTTTCCGCGTTGCGACCGCAGGTATTACTTCGCGAAGGCCGCTTGCAATTAACGCGTCCCTCATGGTGAGACCTTACTGGAATACCCAATTGGCTTCCAATTCGTCTTCTCTCCACCCGCTGTCTTAACTGCTGTCTTAACACCGGGAGAACCTTAGTATCAGTAGAAGCTAACTCGTTCACAGTGTCCTATATTTTGGATTTTTGGCCTCCGTCCTCTATCCTTTGTGTCGTGAGAACAATACCTATGTCGACCATGGAACATCCCCATGCCTTATACATTCTTCGGCGTCTGTACAGCACGGATATACTGGCAAATTGTCACGACCGTGCCTGTGTAGGTAATCTCGGATATATCAATCTATTCAGTTAGGAATTTTGTGAGGTTATAATTTACTCTACCATGACGTCTTCCGTCATGGGCGATGGACGAGCACATCGAAAAGATGATTAAAAGCACAAGCTGAATACTTTTATTTTATATATATATAATCTATGCCTTGCAAACGATATATTCAAGTTAATATGATTACAACTTCTTTATAAATAATGAGTTTACCTACATATATACAAGCATGGATAGATTGAATATGTAGTTATTAGCTGTACTACTATTGTGGTTTTGCTTGCTATCTGTGTTAAATGATGATGATGATGTACGCACAACACTTGTATTGCATCAGAAAAATACATATATCGGACCAGAACTGATATCCTCATACGTATTGGCATAAATTATGTCGTGAAACATCTTTAACTCTTAATCTATAAAAAAGAAACTATACACTGAGAAAAATATTAAAAATAATTACGAATTACGAATTCTATCAATAAGAAGAGCGATTAACGGAGACAATAAAAAATTGTTCTCATCTTCTTGTCTTGTCTTGTCTTCTTAACGAAAAAGATTGTCATTGAGAAAGATGAAACAAACTTTCAAGCGAAATATAAATGGCATATATGTATATATATATATATATATAGAGATAACTTTCTTCACGTTATAACTTGACAATAATTTGAATCAATTCCTACAAGCCACAAAAAACAGATTGATACAGAGATCATTACTATCATAATGATATTCATAAGGAGCCGGAGAAATTCATAAAGAAGCTCATTACTCATTCAAGCAACAATCATATCATGTATGATAAGAGATGGCCATTAGCGTTAAACACCCATAATGCTCGGAACCCATAACTTAATTGAAAATTCGCTTTACCTTTGACTTTAATAATATCTTGAAATCATGATATCTAATACGGTTTATTACGCCAGTGGAAAAGGGATGAGAGAAACAACAAATCAACTATGTTCAAAAAGGTTGCCGGAATACCTGCTTGACCATCCGTCCACTGCTTTCCCTATATCTTCCTTTTTACTAATTGATGAAATCTTTACAACGAATTTAAAAAAAATATTTTTTTTAATAAAAAAATTGATTTTTTTTTTTTTTTTTTTTTTTTTTATTAGAAAGAAGGAATGAACACGTGAATTCAAATACTACAGTAGATAGGGCAAGATGTGTATTATCTCTTTAGCAGATGACATCGTTGATCGCTTTGTATTTTGATACTCTTGACAAAGGAAACGAATTGAAAACCAAAAGGGGGCCTGACACACGTTAGATTAAATTACAAAAAAACATTTTCATACATGCTTGGCGCTTAGTGTTACTAAGCCAATTATATAATTATAATATATAAAAATCGGATTATGTCTACAATCGGCAGAGAAGTACATATTTGTGTTTCATTTTGCGCGATTGATCGGTATAGTAAATTAAAGTCCATGTAACCTCAAATAAATTCGCTTAAGTAAGAATTGAAAAAAAAAAATTTTAATTTTTAACATAAGCGAGAATGAAAAAAATTCTTTATTGCTTTATGTTTGCTCTAAAATCATACTCGCGTAGATGAATTTTGGGAATGAGTTTTACGGACACTTGGGGGATATTAACCTAAATGATGGGCTTAGAAACCCCGGGGCCCAAATGATTTCTTTGTCTATTGTCTATTGCAAGCTCTGCGAGCTAAGCGGATTGCAGTGCGTGTGCCTTAAGGAAGTACGAAAAGTAAACAAATTGGTGGCCATAGGTGGAAATTGAATGTTTGCACTGAAACACACTTGGGCTGAGCTGTAATAGTATTTCTATGTAATATTTCACCACTTGTAGCATTGTTTTCACGTAGATGGATTGAATTAGAATACCTTGGTCCAACACTGTTGAGGTCAACCTCTACGGGATGTTCTTCAAGCCAGATCAATAATGTAATCGATGTAATAAGAAAATAAAATTTTGTTTCATCTCTCTCTCTTTCTCTCTGAAGAGATGCAAGATGATAAAATGATTCCGTTTTGATTGTAAAAATACAATTTTCATAATACAAGAAATAAAAAAGATTATGATCTGAAAAAAGTGTTTTCTTTGCGTGCGCGTTTCTGGCAACCGAAAATATTTTTTCTATATGTGGCTTGTATGATGTTGAGCAATGTCAAAATCGCTATACGAATTAACAAACTTAATGTATCAGTCACTATTCCTTAATTACTGGAATATAAAAATTTTATATTAAAAAAAATACTTAATTTTTTTCTTTTTTCTTATATGCCAGGGCAATGTATTCTTGTTAACGAAAGGTAAAAGCAATTACAACAACATTAGTTGGAACTTTGAAACAAGAAACGTGAGGTGTTCTACTAACACGTGGTGGTGCTATTGCTGTTTCAAGATAATTGTGTTCGTCGTCGCTGACTTGTTAAAAAAATTTGCTTTCATCGAGTTTCATATGGAGGTTAAATATTTGCCATTATTTTTATTTTTTAATTTTTTTTTTTTTTTGCTTACGGAAACTAAGTTAATATTTGTTTTTGTACTTTTTCAATTAGTTCCACATTTTCAGTTAAGCACCTTTGCGATTATACTAAATAGTTAATGAGCACCTTCGTCATTAGCACAGAAGTTTTCTTTAAAATAAAAAAAATTTAAAAAAATAAAAAAAAAAAAAATATATATATATATATGTATATATAATTATTTGATAACATTTTTGATCTTTTCACCGAAAATGCGCAGGCAAGGCAGTCTGTTTGTCCATAGAACACATTAATATGCAAACTAGACCTAGTTCGTATATAATACTAGAAAGAGGGAAAAGACGAAATTAATGACTTTTGCTTGCTCCCCATATGTTTGTTTGCAAACAGTATGCCAGTCATTACAAAACTACGAATAAACTGAATAAAGTTCATAGACGTAAGAGCTAGACGAAAGTGAGAGATACCTAGATAGAAAGAAAGGGAAAGAGAAAGAGAAATAGAAAGAGAGAGAAAGTGAGAGTAACAAATAAAGATAGATAGATAGATAGATAGATAGAGAGAGAGAGAGAGAGAGAGAGAGAGAGAGAGAGAGAGAGAGAGA